GAAAGAATAGTAAGATATATAATCCGGTGTTCTTATAGATATTTTTTTTTTACAAAATCTTGCTCAATGTAAATTTACAGAGCATTAATATTATAAATTAATGGATTTAAAATCTTTAAGTATACAAATAGAAAAAATGCCGTAAGAATTTTTGCCGTTAACAATAATTTTTTTTTAAAATCCAGGCGACATGCATTTAACGGATGTCAGATTTCATTGAAAAATACATCCCTACCCCCTACCAAAACGTAACTAATAACTGATACAACGAAATACAGCGATAATGAACTCGCAAACAGCCCTTGTCTAGATGAATGGATTACTCTGTACCCTTGGAAACGTGAATTATGATTTTTTGCTGTGCCTTTAAAACCGAGTAATAAATAAGTTACTCCCAAATTCGCTTGAGGATGAAATGGAACTAATGTCTTTAATTTAATTACAAAATTAAATTCGAAGCTTTTAGCTTCCATTTTTGAAACATGGTTAGAACTGTGTAGCGAAAAAGAAACATATTTTAAATCAATTAACTTATAATATATATATATATATATATATATATATATGTGTGTGTGTGTGTGTGTGTGTGTGTGTGTGTGTAATTAATACAAACATAAAGTTTGTTACTTAGCTGATTGGTGTTACGCAGAATGGCCCCCAGCACTCACACCGTCCACTTATCAGGCGATATTAGAAATAGACTGTTTATATTTCTCAGCTTTTTTTTTTATATATGCACTTTTTGATTGGAACAAGTTTATATATCATAGTGTAAGGAACAAATTGGTTACGTTTTTAAATTTAACATGTTTCACTTTTATTTAAGCTTCATCAGAAATTTTAAGAAATGAGATATTGATGCGAATAGAAAATTCTGATATTTTTTTTTTAAATTTTTGGCTTGAATCCATCTCTCCTCCATATTTCTCCTTCCTATTTCATAGTTGAATTTTCTTTCCTCTTTCATATTTCATTTCTGTTAAAGCTTAAATCAAAGCGAAATATGTTAGTTTATAAAAGTTTCTTATTTGCTGTTTATCCTATTATTCTATCAGATTTCTAACCCATATTTGATCCCAATTCATCGACACGCATATACAAGGGTCTGCTAAAACCAACTTCCAAAATTCAATATTTCAATGTTCATCATCAGTGTATCTGTAATTTTTATCGTAATGATAGCTTGAGACTTGAGTATTTTACACGCATCATGTTTATTTTTTAACATAATCCCCTTCCTTGTCAATTCGCTTAATTCTGGATAGATCATTAATAATAATAATACAACGAAGTTTATATATTGAACAGCTCAGTTAATATTTAGCCCTCAGACTAAGGATTTTGGAATCTCATCTCGTATGCAAGCGGGTGCTGAAATTTCTTCGTAGGTACCACTTGCCAAAATTTCACGAAATGACTAAAAATAAGAATCCGTTCTTGTTCGGGACGAGAACTTTTCAACACTACATCCTATAGATAGGTATCGTATTGATATAGAATCCGTTCACTGCTTGAGTACTATTAGTCTCACCCTTTAATCGATCACGTGAGTACATATATACCGTATATATTCAATATAGTGCGAGTTTTTATTATCAGATTTTTACGTAAAAATAGGAGGCCGTATTATACATAGGTAATGTTTTTTGAAAATGTTAAAAATGATAGGTTTTCAATGACCGATAGCACTAAACACAGGTAAAGTTGTTTTTTTTTGTTTTTTCTGCAGGGTTTAAAGTTCATGCAAAAAATTCAGAAAAAGCACTATACATGAAGCCGGCTTATACACAAGTACATACGTTATCTGATGTTTGTCGTGTTTTTTGGATTCTTTTGTCTTTTCTCATTTCTGCTTTTTCTGTGAATCAATAATTGGACTTAACTGATATAATCCTTTATCTTGAAATATATTTGCTTTCTTTTTAAAGACAATCAAGGCTAAGTTTTGAAAAGCTATTTGCTGTCGGCAACAAATGTAGAAAAGAAAAATATGAAAAGGTCAATATAAACCGTAACAAACGAAGCGTATGATATTTTTCCTCGGGCCGGGGAAAAATCAATAAACTAATACATCAATAAATAATAAGAGAAGATTAAAAGAAAACATTTTTATTGTATCTCTTTCTCCAATTTTCATTTTTGGGAAGCAAAATTATTCCAATAGAAATCTGACCGAAAAAGACGGAAATGTAAGTGCATATTATTTTTATATTAAATGTCTTTCTTCATTTTACTTTCTTTCTTAATTCATTGTAACATATAATTTAATTCCACAGCTCCAAGAGTGTTGACTAGCGTCTGATACGTGATTGGATTTTTGAAGTGGAGTGAAAAGATTTCACCAGATTAAATTATAGACCAGTCTGAAAATTTAATAAAGAATATTTAATAATTTTTATAGATAAGCGAATTTATTTTAAAACTTTGCCATAAATTCTGGTGTTCAGAATTTTTTTTTGTTCGCTTTGAGCAATGCCCAAGAGTCATTCGAGATAGTGGGCTACAAAGTAAGAGGAACAACCCCAAGCACGTTGAAAACGCCTCCATGGCGCAAGGGGCTACCGCAAATGAAAGAGAAACCTAATCCTAAATAGGAAACAAAAGATAAATATCTACTCATGTTCATAATACCGGGGAAGAACAGGACGATAGGCAAACATATCTATTCCTAATGAAGAAAAAAGTAAATAAATAGTAAATAAAAGGTCAAAGTTTTAGACGAAGTCATTAGAAGTATTGAGTTGAAGTAGTCTATAGAAAGAACCGGAAACTCAATCCTAACCAAGAAATAATGGACGTGCCGTGTCCTTTCATGTGGTGGGTGAACATTGCTCATCGTAAATTCCTATCCTTTGTAGTTCTTAACAATATTAGTCTTTTAACCGTCTCTTTAGTCGTCGTTCTGTCATCCATTCACGTCAGATAGGTGCCCCGTCACCCCCCTTTCTATTCTATTTGCTTTCGATATGTCCTGTGATGTCAAATTTTCTACGCTCTCCTTCACAGTTTATGTGTTACAGAAATTTCAGCTTTTTCTATATTTATCATTAACTCCCAACCCCACCTATCTATCTATCTATCTATCTATCTATCTATCTATCTATCTATCTATCTATCTATTAAAACAACTAAAGGATATAGAATTTGGAAGATTATACAGCACCAATTTCCCAATTGAGAAATAACTATCTCTCTTGTAAATTATTTGAAATCCTGATTTTTCTCAATATTCGGCTACTAATTACACAGCAAGTGTCATCCTAAGAGTCGGAGAGGATCCAATAATAATAATAATAATAATAATAATAATAATAATCAGACCCCGTTACGGAGATAGGATCTGTTACAATTCTATTGGACTACACAATACACACTGACAGAACAATCAAGGCCAACCGCCCAGATATTTTTATTAAAGATCACAAACAAAAAAGTGCCTCCTTATTGATATGACAGTCCCTGCAATCTATCTTTGAAGATATTCAAAAATCTGTCAAAATACAAGGACCTTGAAATAGAAATCTCAAAAATGTGGCATATGGGAACATCAACAATCTCTGTTGTAGTTGGAGCCCTAGAACTGGTTGGAAAAGATTGCAGTAGACTAATTGAAGGGATTCCTGGAAGTCCATGCCTCAAGGAGATACAAAAATTGTCCGACAAGTACAGCCCACACCTTACGAAGGGCTTTATCTATGTAATTTTTTTTTTTTTTTGTCAGTGGAAAGTGTCGTGATGCCATTTCTAACCTTAGGTCCCTCAAGGGACCCTGAAAGAAATATGTAAACTCCAGAAATCAAAGAAAATAAAAATAATAATAATATTCCTCACCCAAATATATATGGGTTGATTTTAGAATTTACTGGAAACTAATTTGTTAAAATTAGTTGATGTTTTAAACTAAAAATAATTTTCTTTGTTTTGTGATGAGGACGTCGTTACTCATCCTTGCAACAACAAATATTGAATACGCAATTATTATATCACCATATACACGAATAAGCACTATAATCCACTAGGCCATTGTCCCGTGTATATAGTAATAACTCCTCATCTCAGTAATCGATACACATATCAAATATCAAAGCATTTTCTTGAATATTCTGTTCCATATTCAATACCTACTGAATCGTAAACTAATTACATTCGGAAACTGAGGAACAATCGTATTTTGAGGCTTTCCTTTTAAGATTCCCATGTTGGGCTATTGGATTTGACTAACAATTGTGCATTCTTTTTTTTGCAATTAAGGTTTAGTCTTTACTTCTCGTTTCCCTTTTTATATTCATACACACACATATACATACATACGCAGGTGTATATAGGTATACACATGCTTGCGTACATATATACCAAATTCAGATGTGAACAATTACCATTCTTTTGTGTTTAGGTTGTCTTTATTCGCAAAAGAACAAATATTCAACGCGCAATTATTGTAACACCAAATACTTGAACCAGCATTTTAATCCACTAGGCCATTGTCTCGTATAGATAACTCCTCATTTCAGAAATCCTCTCACACACTTATACTTTTGTAGTACCAACCAAAAATGAAGGAAATACTTTTATGCTAGCAAAATGCGTTTCATATGACATACTCTATGTGAAAAGAAAGATTATACTGCGCCAATTTCCCAAGTGAAAATCTGCCTAGCTAATAGTTGAAATTCTAGCATTTCTCAATGCCGACCACAAATCAATGTCAGTTGTAATTGATTTATTCGTTTTTTATGGTTTATCAACCCATTGAAGGGGGTTTTTTTTAACACAATCACATATTTTTAGATTCTAAAACTTTTTTGACGGAAATGATAATAATGATTTTAGTGATATACATCTTACTAATTAACCCATAGCTGGAGGGAGAAGAGATGGGTTCATACCTTTCCCAAAGGTATTAACGCCTAAGTGAATATAACGAGACCAATGGGAATTGGAACTCAGCTCTTCAATAAACATTTCCGAGTCAGTATCCATTACACCACCCGCAAGCTTAGAACACGTGATATTCCCAAGGAGTCTCTCATCTAAGTAATGACCAGACTCGACGTTGCTTAACTTCAGTGTTCGTACGGAATTTGATGTTTCAACGTGATATTACTTTAAGCCTTTTGTTTGTTTTATGATTATTATTTGTACTCATCGATTTACCGTATCATACATCAGTAAATGTCCAATTAAAATTAATGTTAATAGACAACAACTGGAAAGAGAGAAGCAGTTTAAGCTATTTGGCGTTATCGTCAGTCCAAGACCGAAATACAGACATGAGATGTGAAAACTACAACACGGGCAGGATAGGAACCCATATGGAGAGACAAGAACATCCATCTCAAAACAAAGCTGACACTCCAGAAGCCATTATCTGGTATATCTGCAATCATGGACTCTCACAGTAGAGAAGGACCCTAGCAGTGGAAGCGAGATGGTGTTTCTTACAGATTAAAGTCATGAAACCTATCAGGCAGCATATTCATCTGTATGAAGAGTTTCTGATAACAATGGTATAAAGGGAAAATAAAATGCTATGGTCAGCTAACAAGACGGGTTCGCCAAGAATCTTCTTCAGGTGATTCTTGGAGAGCCAATAAAATCAGTGAGAGGGGCAAGGAAACAAGTCAGCCAGCGAAAGAAATGAATAGAAGAAAGATCAATGAGTAGTCAGAAAGGAGCTTTACCGAAATAAAGGCAGACCTTCGGAAATAGGGGTCAGATGGTGATGAGTTCTGAAATTGAGTGCCCTGACGACCATGTCAAGTTACGACAATATGACAGTGAGAGATCAGAAAATTCGTAAATCTACGTACTAATTTAATTTAAAATTGATGAGAGAAAGAGAGAAAGAGAGAGAGAGAGAGAGAGAGAGAAGGAAAGAGATACAGAGAGAGCGGGGGAGAAGAATGAGAAGAGGGCGAGATAATGAAAAAGGAAATTAAAAAAGAAATTATGAATAATTTCAATATAAAAAAAAAATATTCGACAGCATTTAATATTATGAAGCTCTAAAATTCAGTGTTGAGTGTTTCTTTAGAAAATAGATATTCATGCGTCTGCGTACATTTTCCACATTAAAAAAAAAAGTTCTTCTTCCCTTTGACTTTTATCAAAAAGTAAGCATGACAGTTCGTTCCAAAGCAAATGGAGGAAATCGAATGTCAATTGCACTTATATTCTGATCTCATTTTATATTTTTAATAGATTTAATTTCCTTAAAAAAATGGCCGAATGCACGCAAAGGTGAGCATTTATCAGCAGAAAAATTGAGGAAAATATCCACACGTGCTCATATAAAATCACACACAGACCTCACGCTCTGTCTTTCTCTACACACTCACGCACAAACACATCTCTCTTTCATATATATATATATATATATATATATATATATATATATATATACAGTGTATCACAAAAGTGAGTACACCCCTCACATTTCTTCAAATATTTAAGTATATCTCTTCATGGGACAGCACTGAAAAAATTACCTTTTGACACAATGAAAAGTAGTCTGTCTGCAGCATATATAACAAAGTTAATTTCTTTTCCCCTCAAAATAACTCAAAATATAGCCATTAAAAGCTAAATCCCTGGCAACAAAAGTGAGTGCACCCCTAAGAAACTACACACCTAAAAAGTGAGTACACCCCTAAGAAACTACACCCCTAAATGTCTAAATTGAGTACTGCTTTTCATTTTCCCTTCAAAATGTCATGTGACTCATTAGTGTAACTATGCCCATGTGTTCATGGGGAGCAGGTGTATTCAAATTTGTAGTGCAGCTCTAACACTCTCTCTTACAGGTCACTGAAAGTTCCAACATGGCACCACATGGCAAAGAACTCTCTGAAGATCTTAAAAAACGTATTGTTGCACTACATAAAGATGGCCAAGGCTACAAGAAGATTGCCAACACCCTGAAACTGAGCTGCAGCACAGTGGCTAAGATCATCCAGCATTTTAAAAGAGCAGGGTCCACTCAGAACAGACCTCGGGTAGGTCGTCCAAAGAAGCTGAGCGCACGTGCTGAGCGTCACATCCAAATGCTTTCTTTGAAAGATCGGCGTAGGAGTGCTGTTAGCATTGCTGCAGAGATTGGGATTCAGCCTGTTAGTGTTCAGACCATACGCCGCACACTACATCAAATTGGTGTGCATGGCAGTCACCCCAGGAGGAAGCCTCTTCTGAAGGCAATACACAAGAAAGCCCGCAAACAGTTTGCTGAAGACATGTCAACAAAGCCCATAGATTACTGGAACCATGTCCTATGGTCTGATGCGACAAAATTTAATTTGTTTGGTTCTGATGGCCTTAAGCATGTGTGGCGGCGACCAGGTGGGGAGTACAAAGATAAGTGTGTCATGCCTACAGTCAAGCATGGTGGTGGGAATGTCATGGTCTGGGGCTGCATGAGTGCTGCAGGTATTGGAGAGTTACATTTCATTGAGGGAAACATGAACTCCAACATGTACTGTGAAATACTGCAGCAGAGCATGATCCCCTCCCTCCAGAAACTGGGTCGCAGAGCAGTGTTCCAGCATGACAATGACCCCAAACACACATCCAAGACAACCACTGCTTTACTGAAGAGGCTGAGGGTAAAGGTGATGGACTGGCCAAGCATGTCTCCAGACTTGAACCCGATAGAACATATTTGGGCCATCCTCAAGCAGAAGTTGGAGGTGCGCAGTCTCAAATATCCGCCAGCTCCACGACGTCGTCATTGAGGAGTGGAAGAGCATTCCAGTGACTACCTGTGAAGCTCTGGTAAACTCCATGCCCAGGAGAGTAAAGGCAGTTTTGGATAATGATGGTGGCCACACAAAATATTGACAGTTGACATGTTGTATGTTAATATTGGCAACTTTTCCTAAGGGGTGTACTCACTTTTGCTGCCAGGGATTTAGCTTTTAATGGCTATATTTTGAGTTATTTTGAGGAAAAAATAAATTAACTCTGTTATATATGCTGCAGACAGGCTACTTTTCATTGTGTCAAAGTGTCATTTTGTCAGTGTTGTCCCTTGAAGAGATATACTTAAATATTTGAAGAAATGTGAGGGGTGTACTCACTTTTGTGATACACTGTATATATATTAGCGCAGAATGAGTGTTGGAATTAATAAAACTGTGTTCAGTGTATAATAACAGAGATAAAATTTATAGTAATATAAATATACATGTGTTTCTCACTGTGGCAATCGTCTGGTCGGACTGAAAACTGGTTATATATATATATATATATATATATATATATATATATATATATATATATATATATATATATATATATATATACTTTTATTAAATACAATTAACAAGATACTTCGATTATGCTATCCATTCAATTTTTCTTGCATTCGTACAAGTATTCTTTTGTGATAAAAACTGTCCCAATATTCTACCGTTTTCGATTATTCCATTAGCAATAATCTTTAATTGAATATATATATATATATATATATATATATATATATATATATATATATATATAAGCAAATATATGGATATAGATCCAACAGTATGAAGAAAAATATACGGAAAAAACAAACAAAAATCCTAATATGCAATTATTAGATTAACATTAAAAGCTAATCCTAATATGCAATTATATATTAACATTAAAACAGCATAATTGCATATTAGGATTTTGTTTGTTTTTTTTCCGTATTTTTTTTTTTTTCATATATATATATATATATATATATATATATATATATATATATATATATATATAAATATATATAGTAGTGGGGTTAATGAAACAGTGTTCGATTTAATATAACAAAACAGTTAACTATACAGTAGCGTCCAAAACTAAGGGACAACATTTTAAAATCTAATATTTGTTAGAAATAACAACTGTGAATAGCTGAAATTTTGACATCTGGTAGTCGTTATCATCCATAATAACATACTAAAATTTGAATAAATTGCTAAGGATAGAAAAAGAATTATAACAATTATTTATTTACTTCCAAATTTGGAACGTCCAAAAGTAAGGGACAAAATTGAGAAAAACAATGTAAACGGCAAAAAAACAATAAAAATACATGTACAATCAATATTTAGTAAATGAGCCCTTGCTCTCAATGACAGCTGCACATTTTCGACTCCAAGAACGAATCAGTTCTTGACATCGATACTAATTTTAGACCATTCTTCTTGAAGCTTCACCCACAAATCCTCCGTGTTAGTGGGATTTCTTTCCATAACTTTCACTCCTACGGTCTTCCAAAGATCTGTTGGATTTAAGTCAGGACTTTGCGGTGGCCAATCCATAATTTCCAAATCTTGCTCGCTAAGGTAACTCATTACCAGCTTTGCCTTGTGACATGGGGCATTATCTTGCATAAAGGTAGCACTATCGAAACCTGAATTCTGTATGTTTGGCACAACATGATCTTGAACAATTTTTTCATAGATCTGTGCGTTTACACGAGTTTGTAACCGGACAAGAAGCGTTGTACCTTGGCTAGAAAACATTCCAAATACCATGACGCTTCCGCCCCCAAACTTGACAGTTTTCTTAGTACACTTTGCACTTAATCTTTCACCAATACGTCTCTTTACATTGTTTTTTCCATCATTTCCAAATAAATTAAACTTGCTTTCATCACTGAAAAATACTTTTGCCCAATTTTCATATGTCCAAATTACATACCTGTTTGCAAACTCTAATCTCTTCTTCTTATTCTTCGAACTAACAAGTGGTTTCTTCCCTGGGGTTCGATTAAACAGCCCTATTTCTTGCAGTCGTCTACAAACAGTCTGTCTTGACACATTAACACATGAGGTATTATTCATAACCCTTTTAATTTCTGTACAATACTTAAAACGGTCCTTTAATGACATACGCTGCATTATTCGATCTTCTCTTGCCGAAGTTTTGCGGGGTCTGCTGGTTTTAAAAGCACTAACTATTTTGCCAGTATCATTGTAGGATTTAACAACCCTGCCTACAACACTCTTGGAACGTTTCACTTTCTCTGAAATCTCTCTAATGGTGTGCTTTTCCTTGTGTAGCTTCACAATAGCTTGTCTCACAGAGTAATCAAGTTTTTGACGTTTCGCCATGGTGCCGGCTGATGCAAC